TCAAAATGGTTAGGATAGATATATAGTTACATTCTCTTAATGAATAGAGGGATTTGTTCTAATAGTGTCTGTAAACAGGATATCATGTCCGCATCTTGTATAGCAATTAATCACTAGGAAGAATGTATGCAATGTGTTAATTACTGAAACTGTCCTACCAATTTGGTTTGAAACTGTCTCACTGCTATTTGTTTCTCAATAAAATTATGGGAAAAAAATTTTTAAAAGAGTGAAAAAAAAAACTTTCTTCTCACTGAACTAAGAGAAAGTAGCTGTGTATTTTTGCTATTTTGGATGTACAGATAAATATTTTTTCACTGCAAAATGGTCCTTCATTTATATCCCCTTTTTTGTTTACTTTTGTCAGAGATGGGTATTCCATTGCCATTCATATATTGCAGGTGCATGAATTCAGCAAAGTAATCCAATATAGTCCAGTAGCCTATAATAGTAGTGGGTTATCCGTAGGACTGGCAATGTCAGAAGTTATTGAATTAAGCCTTTTATAGCTCAGCATATTAATATGGATTTACTTTTTATACCTCGTTTTTATACTTTTCTGCTGGATGGTTAACACCAAGATAAAGCAAGACCTACATAACAAGAAATATAACTTTTGTATCTGCTAAGATTAGTCAAATCCCCTCAGGATGTACCCTGAAACCCTGTACAGCAGTTTGTAGATCATTTATTAGTGCCAGCCATGTGGATGAGTCACAGTCATTGCTTGGTCAATTTGCTCTTTGTGAAAGCCTGAGAGAATGTTTTATCTCCATATGACTCTCATTAGCCACACTCAACATCATTGATCACTTTCCTCTGTGGCCCCATAATTGCCTTGATCAGAAAATTTGGGACACCACTGAGCTACAGGATGTTAGAGTGCAAGTTTGCCTATGTCCTGAATCCTCACTGACCTTGAAGGGTTAGGGCCAAAATGTTGGCTATCCCTGTAAATTTTTTTTTTTTTTTTTTTAAGTATGGAAGTTGCAAGATTTGCTAATGATATCTGAACAAATCTAGGCCTCAGGAACTTAAACTGAATCTGTGGCAGGAAAATAACTACTTGGGATACAAATTGAAGGGACAAAGTCCATACAGGAAAATGCTAGTAAGCTTGAACTCACAAAATTAGAACAATCTTAATGGCAATGATGTATTCTTTTAATTTTTAAGTTTTTAAAGAGTAGAAATTAGAATTAAAAACAATTAAAAGTGATACAGAATTTCACTTAACAAAGTAATATGAATTTCACTGTATTTGGTGCAATACGTATTGTTGTCTTCCAACCAGTTATTTATATTAACAGATATATGCATGCAAGTATCACAGAAGAAAAAAAGAAAAAAAATGTATAAGAAGTTAAGAAGAGAAAAAGTATAAACAATTGAAGAAAGGAGATGAAACATATTAAAGCATTAACTGCTTCTTTCCATAGACCAGTAGAAATGTATAGTACACTTGTCAAACCATCTTGTTTACATACACAGATAAATCTCTTTCCTTCATTTGCTCTCCTGTCCTCCTCAATTTGGTAATTCATTCCTTTTCACCAAATTCATTTCCTTTTCTCAGTATCTATTGTACCTTTCACATTCCATTTTTCTCTTTCAGATCTCACACTAAGGAGACAATATGATGCTAGCACTGAGGGTATGATTTGCTTCAATAAAGAGTATGTTGTCTAGTTGCATCCATTTTCCAACAAAAGACTCAAATTTATCCTGCCTTATAGCTGAATAATACTCTGTTGTGTAAAAATACCACATCTTTATGCACTCTTCAGGTGATGGACATTTGGGTTATTCCCAGGATTTAGCTATGAAAATCTGCACTGCTATAAATGGGTGCACATATGTCATTTTGGTAAGATGTTTCCAGTTCTGCTGGAAAAAATATGTAGGAGGGGAAGAGCTGGCTTGAATAGGATCTCCAGTCCTAGCTTTTTAAGGAATCTTCACAGATTTCCACAATGGTTACACCAGTCTGCACACCCACCAACAGTGCAGAAGGATTCCTTTTTCTCCACAGCCCCTCCAGCATTTGTTATTGGCTGACTTCCTGATGTTAGCCATACTTTATGGGGTTAGATGGAATCTCAGTGTTTTAATTTTCATTTCTTGAATGAGCAATGATGTTACACATTTCTTCATATATTTACTTGCCATTTGTATTTCTTCCTCTGAGAAGTGTGTATCCACCTCAGCTGACCATTTTTGGATTGGGTCTTTGAATTTGTGGGGCCTGATTTTTTTAAAATTCTTTATATGTTCTAGATAGAAGGCCTTTGCCAAAGGAAGTTGTCTATAATTTGTTTCCCAATTTGTCGGTTTTCTTTTCACTCTGTTGGAGATTTGCTTTTGAAGTGCAGAAACTTTTCAAAAATATGAGATCCCAGTTCTTGCTCCTTTGAAGTATTTCCCATGCAGTTTGGCTTTTGTTCATGAACTCTCTACCTACCTCTATGTCTTTTAAGATTTCTACCAACATTTTCCTCCAGATTTAGTGTTTCTGTTTTATTTAAAAATTTGATCCATTTTAGCTGTAGGTTTGTGCATGGTGATAGACATGGCTCTAGTTGTAGCCTTTCACATGTGGAAAGCCAGTTTTTCAGCACCACTTATTAAAGAGACTATCATCCAGTGAGCATGTTTGGTCCATTTATGATAGAAAAGATGGTGGAGTGTTTTTGCAGTTGTGTCTGCATCTTCTAATCTGTTCCATTGATCCTCAGGTCCGTCTCTATGCCAGTACCATGCTGATTCTATCAAAGTACCTTTATAGTATAAGTTCAGGTCAGGAATCGTGATACCTCCTGCCTTTCCTTTGTTTCCCAAGATTGCTTTCAATATTCTAGGTCTCTTCTGGTTCCAAATGAATTTGAGGAAAGTTTTTGCTAGCTCCATGAGGTAACCTAATGGTATTTAAATCAGGATTGCACTGAATCTGAATAGCAATTTTGTGAGTATGGCCATTCTCACAATGTTGGTTCTTACTGTCCAGGTGCACGGAATAACCTCTTTTTCAATCCTTATTCATTTTATTTCTCTCTTTTGTTTAATTGCTCTGGCTGTTTCAACAACTATATTGAATAGGAGTAGACAGTAGGCGTCCTTGTCTTGCCCCTGATCTTAAAGTGCAAGTCTTCAGTTTGTGCCAATTTCATATGATGTTGGCTGTTGGTTTTTCATAGATGGCTTGTTGAGATATAGACTGTCTATTCTGATTCTCTGTAGAGTTTTTATCATGAATGTTGGACTTTGTAAAAGGTTTTTCTGCATCTGTTGAGATAATCGCATGGTTTTTGTTCTTGGTTCTACAGATGTGGTGTATTACATTTATGGATTTGCATATGTTGAACCATCTTTGCATTCCTGGAATCAATCTCATTTGGTCATGATGTATGATCTTGCTGATTTGCTGCATTCTGTTTGCTAGTATTTTATTGAGTATTTCTGCATCTATGTTCATTAGAGATTGGCCTGTAGTTTGCTTTTTTAGTTGGATCTTTCTGTTTTTGGAATCAGAGTAATACTTGCCTCCAGGAATAAGCTTGGGAGAATTGCTTTCCTTTCAATTTCATTGAAGAATTTGAGAAAAGTTGCCATTAAATCTTGTCTAATTTTTTGTCATTCTGCTGTGAATTCATTGGGACCGGGGATTTTTTTGTTAGTAGGTTTTTTTTTTTTTTATTATTATTACATTTTCTATTTCATTTCTCGTTATTGGGTTATTCAGAGTTTGTATATCTTCTTGACTCATCTTTGGCATTTGATATGTGCCTAGGAAGCTGTCCATTTCCTCTGTGTTTTCCAGCCTGTGAGAGTAAAGATTTTGGAAATAGGTAATAATGATCTTCTGAATTTCTCTAGGGTCTGTAATGATTTCGCCCTTTTCATTTTTCATCACATGAATTTGGGTTTTTTTTCTTGTCTTTTTTTGATTAGACTGACTATGGGTTTATCAATTTTATTTACTCTTTCAAAGAACCAACTCTTTGATTCATTTATTCTTTGTACTGTTTGCTTTGTACCAAACAATGCAAGGACTTGTAAGTAACAAAGATGTGGCACCTTTGAGATCTGAGGATCAAATCAGAGTGGGGCTGCCCAAGAAAAGCAGGAAACTGTAGCTCATAACATGCAAGTGCAGTGCCTTCAGTGAAATGCCTCTCTCATTTTCCCACTCCCCTCTTTTCTGTTTCTCCCACCAAAATCTTTTTTTGTTTTGTTTTGTTTTTTATTGGTGGAACCAGGGATTGAACTCAGTCCTTTGTGCTTGCCAGGGAAGCGCTTATTCTACTGAGCCATCTCCCCAGCCCCTCCCACCAAAATCTTACACTTGAGATCACCAATCAAGGTCTCTGCAAAGGAGCCCGGATTACCATCTAAGTGTGCTTGCTTCTTCACTTTCCAGGCAAGGCTCTTGTTCTTTAGCATCAGATTGACCTAGGTTAGGATGTGAACCTGGCTGATACTGGGAAAGCTTTTAAACCATTGGACACTTGATTTCTAAATTACTGAAAGCAGACACATTCCCCCCACAGAATTGCTGGGAGAACCAGCAGTGCATGCCACTATAATACAGACAGGGTGGTGCTTGACACACACAACAAGCCCAATAAATCCCACTGTCCTCATGTATTTCCCAGTGATCACTCTTGGATTACAAGATCAAAACCTCTGGTTGACTTCACCTACCTATGTGTTCAACTGGTGAAACCACTGAGCATTGGAATAACCCTTGCAAACTAATGACCAGCCTAGACTCCAGCACTGCCAAAGCAAATGTAAGATAGTATGGATATACTGAACAGTTTTTCATTATAACTTTCTACTTTTAAACAAAAAATTTAAAGCAACACTTTGAGCAAGTGGAAAGCATGCATAATTGTACTGTATTCTCATTAATATTACCTTTTTTTTTTTAATCTGTGGCAAGGGTTACTATCAAGCTCCACCCACTGGGCCAGAGTGGAGTGTTAGCAAAAGCCTTGTCCCTTGTGTGGCATACCACCTTTTTTTAAAAAAGTATTTTTTTTTCTTTTTTACTTATTTATTTTTTGTGGTCTAGGGAAGGGTCTACAGGGTGTTCAGGGTCTCACTATTAGATTAGACTTGTAGTGATCTGTCTGTTTACAGCCTCCCAAGAACTGGGATTACAGGCATGCACCACCATGCCCAGTGTCAACTGCCATCTCAGCATGCCCTGGGGGCAGGGCTGGCATGGCAGGCCCAGGGATCGAACCCCTGGCCCCTGTGCCTGCATGCAGGTACTCTAATCTGCTGAGCTATTTTGCTGGCCCTAATATTACTACTAATAATAGCAATGTTATTGTTACCAAAGAGTAGTGCAGCTTTCCCCGGGTTGCTGGGGGAAGAGGACATCAGTCTGGAAGGATGGCAATGGGCAAGTCACTTTGGAACAGGAGTTCATATGGGGAAGAGGGCAAGATCCAGCTGTTTGTACCCATACAGGGTAGGAGACACGGGCCAGCTTCCATTGACTTACAATAACTGAATATATCAGGGCAAGTATACATTGACAGGGAACCAATTACTGCAGGAAAGCCTGTAACTTCTACCACTACCAGGACCATACTGTCAAGTCCTTAGAGCTGTGAATCCCTTTCTGCTTGAGGTGTTTTATTACAACCTAAAATTATGGTTCAAACTAGGATCAGCATAGAAGAAACTCCTTGTAAGACACCAGTGCCCAGCAGCAATGGGCTATGAAAGCACCCGGTGTCCAACCTCATCTCAGGCATATGTTCCCCCAGGAACTGACAAGCCATAGGTCTTGCCATGTCTCTCTCCTCCCTAATAGTATCTGGATTATCAATGCATACATTAACATTTCTGATTTTACTTTTTCTAGGACTCTAAGTGAATAGATTCTTCCTTCTGAACACCATATGTATTCTTTAGATCACTAATTAGGTTGCACGTTGGGCTATCTACTTGGAAGCCCCTCATCCTGTTACAATCAATTGGCTCCACTCTAGTTTCACCATTAGGCACTGACTAGTGAGAGTTTAACTCTCGGGGCAGTCTTATGTTCACATTCTTGGAAGGGACCTCAGGGTCCCGAGTCACAGAAAATGGTCTGCTGAGACATGCACCATGAGAAAGTGGGCAATTACCACTACTAACCAGGAACATCTGTTCACTGTGTTTCAGCAGATAGCCTCCTTAGCAAAGACAGAGAACAGCAGAAACTTTCTTGACATTTTATTATTTCTGTACCTGAATCTCTAAACATGAGGATATTTTTGACCTTTACTATTAGTCATTGGTTTTTAAAGGATTTATATTATTTTCTTTGATAATGACATTCTTCATTCTATGAAGGCCAACAATGTGTGCAGAAGGTGGAAGACTCAGAAACAGCAAGGATCTAACAAATCCAGGTCAGGCTCATCAACCTCCTATCACAACCTCAGCAAAAGGCTGCTGAGTAATTACACAGACAGAGCAGCATGCAGGAAGGCAGCCCCAGAGCAAGAAAAACATGGGTAAGCTGGCAGACATGGGTGGTCCGTGCCCTGGATCAGAGCTGGGCCCAGACACTCAGCTTATGCTTTTAAAATTAACTCAGATGAAAAGGAATGCTGCCAAGCCACACCTATTGTGGTCTTCTTTATGATGTAACGTGGCAAGGACTTGAGCAAAGGAGAACAAACAGCAGCCTTTCCATGTGGGGAAGACTGAAGAGAAGGCATGGAAGATGTCCTATGCCAGTGGTGGTAAACCTATGGCTGATGTGCAGCAGCAAGCTGCTGTTATCACTGGATGCTCTACCAGGTTTGCCCTCACTGTCCCATAAGGTATGTGGTACTTTATTTGAGGCACCAGAAATAGAATGCTCAAGCAAACTAACTACATGACATAGGACAAAATGCACAACGGCTGTTCTCTAGCATCCTCCTTTTTTTGCATACTATAAAAGAATACGCAGTAAATATAGGTGCTTTGGCTCCTCCCAGGAGATGTAGTTGGGCATACATAAACATAAAATCAATGCTCCAGTGTCCTAGTGCTTATCCACGTCTGAAAGCTCCCCTTGCATGACTGGAAAAATCAATCAGTAGGGAAGTCATCTTTTGCACTATTCTGGGTAAAAACAGTAACTATTTTTCTTTTAGCATTCCAAAGCCAGAGATAATAAAGTCTATAATGAGCACAAACAAAACTGATTTATTACCTATGGGGAGTGTCAGATGTGGGTGTGTGATGGGAATTCTGCAGTCTTAAAAGGAAATTAAATTCAGGGAATTTTTGAGAAATTGATTTTTTTAAGGGAAATGCTTTATCGATACTCACCTGCCACCATCCATCCTCATGTCTAAGGGACCATCCTTCCGAAAGGAAAATCCTCTTTCAGGAGTGTCAAGTTGCATGGAGGAACACCCAAGATCCAAAAGAACCCCATCCACAGTTCCCGGCTGCACTCCAGCCTTCAATAGCAACGCTTCCGCCTGGCTGAATGGGCCTAGCAGAGCTCGGATCTGTTTACTGGGAACAAATGAAGATGAAAAAACATTGCATTAGTCTTTCTCAGTGATCACGACTTAATCAGCTTGCATTGCCTGGATGCCAACCACAGCCAGAGCTCTGTGCACAGGGAAACGGCACAGCTGTGGGCACGGACACCAGCATGGATGCAGTGTCACTTTATTCTCACCGAAAAACATGTACTGCATACTGCTGGGAAGGTCTATAACACATTCATAAATGAGAACTATTCCTTTGTCACATCAGGTTTTTCAGTGTTTCTTTACAAAATTCTTAAGCCTACCAGTATACATAGGAAAAAGCATATGCCACTCTGTTAAAAGAATTATTTTAATGATCATGTCAAATTAAATATAATAAGCAATAAAACAGAAATCCTTTCCAGAAAATGTGGTACATATATATGGTGGAACATTAGTCAGCCATAAAGTAAAACACAACCCTGTTATTTGATACAACATGGATGGAACTAGAAACCTTTATGTCAGGTGAAGTAAGCTGGCTGCAGAGAGACGGGACTACACGACCTCACTCATATGCGAGATCTAAAGACATTCTCAGAGAAACTGGGAATATGCGTATGTATTACCCCATTGACATGTATAATTCTTTTGTTTTTATGAACCAGCTAAATAAATTTACAAAAACAGATAACAGAAACACAGCATGTTGAACATATCCAATGCAATGCACATTTGTCTATGACTTAGGATAAGGGTTCTACACAGCTGTGCATCTGAGGGAGGAAACCGGACTGAGAGGATTCCAAGCAGAGGCACTGTCTTAGCAGGAACTGAGACTGCGCTGAGCATCTGGAATCTACAAGTCACACTCAAGGACCACCTCTTAGCGGTACTAGCTCCTCTAAAAAAGTGAGCAGCAAACTTCCGGGATTCTTCAGAAGTCTTAGGGCAACTGGTGCCCATTTTGAAAGGAGGGTGAGAAATGAGAATCAGGGAATGCTCTCCACATCTCATTCCTCCCTCTAAAGGTAGGTGGGCCTGGATTTCCCCAGTTCTGGGGAACTCACTTGTATGGCATTTACTTGTATGTTATTCAAGGAACTATGTAAGGGGAAAATGGAGCTCATGGGTAAACTCTTTCCCAAATTGTAATGGAGAAAGTGATCTTCAGATTCATTCAGCAAATCCTTCCTTAGTATGAGCTGTGTGTCAGGGATTATGCTCTCTGGAGGGCTTATAAAGGGTACACAGAGATTAATAAAGCATGGTTTTCTGAGCATGAGCTGAGAAGAAAATTATATGGAAATAAATACAAAACAAACTGATGGGAGGTAAGAACAACAAAGGAACGAACAATTTGCCCACTTGTTTCTGGAGACTATGAACACTAATACTAGCAACTAGAAACTTAGAAATAGTAAAATAGCAAAATCTAGAGTTTGGATGTCAATGAAGGAATTGCTTACACAGTAACTCAATGGGTATTTGACTCTTTCTGAATACAACATCACTGCTATGTGTGGCCCAGAGGGAAACACTGTCCGAATCACCTCTTTTTATACTTTTTTTGGCTTGGAAGGTTCCCATCTGCAAGCTACAGGGTTGTGTGGGGCAGCAGTGGCCAGCATGGGACAGATGAGACCACTCAGAGTTGGGCAATCACCTGTACTCAGGGAAGGTGGGCGGCAGGTCTCACAGTGAATGGAGCTGGGGAGAGCCTTGTGGGTTTCACAGCAGGGTGTGACTAGCTTGTTTGAGTAATGCCACACATAGGGCAGCAGGGAACTGAAACCCTGTTCAGTGATCAGTGGAAAGAGTACCTGGTCCCTCTAAAAGAACAACTCTGGTGAGGAACTCTTACCTACAGGAGTACAGTGGAGAGAGGGACTTGCTGTTAGCTCACCAGGGAAGAGAACTGCTTTGTACTGTTATGTTCTTCTGGAGATTCCTGATGATACAGTTCAGCTAAAATTCAGGATAAGAGTGAATTACATTACGCCTGTGGTCCCCAGACCCCAATGGAGTATAATGTTGCTTTCCAGATGGTGAGGAACAGATAACACTGGGTCTTAATTTGAAGTCTCACATCAGTCATCTAGCATGGGAAATGTCAATGATAAAACACATGCTTCATGTGAAGCCAATCCTCAGTATTACATAAAGACCAAATCAAAACAAAGCAAAGAAACAAAGCAAAAAGACCACAGTACTGCAGACGGGCATATCTCATGTAATGCATGTCCCTAGTACTGCTCTATGTAAGATGAGTGGAAAACCCACCCCCTGGTTGCCTGTCACACATGTCCCATTAGCTCTTGCAGAGGAACTGAGTGGCTCCCTCTGCACTGCCCATCTCTCCCCTCCAAGGCGAGCTCAAAGTTCCTGCCATGCACTCAGGAAGAGACTGGCCATGTCCATGATGGTTTACATGTCAGCATGGCTGGTGTGTTTGCCCTGTAGACGCCACACGTCTGATCCCACGGTCACATGAGAAAATTCCTAGAGATAAGTTTCTTTAAAAATTAAAATACAGGCATATAGTATACAATAAACACACACACAATTATTCTATAGCATACCATGCATACATTTATCTGTACAACTATGTCCTGGTTCTCTGGGGGATCCTGAGAGTCCCACGTCACTAGGAAGATTTCTGATTACCTGAGCTACTTTGCACACAGCATTCACGAGGTCTTGGTCATGTGCAAAAGATATTTCCAACTGAACTACAAGGGAGAGGTTTACTTGACCTTCTTTGACACGATAGGTGGACCCATTCCTGATTATTGCTATTAGGCCAGCAGATATCATCTTAGAATACAAAGTAGAAAGATTAAGGACCCTGGGCTAAGCTTCACTAAAAGCCCAATTTGCCCATAAAGTATTTTTGGTATTGAAACCATTTTGAGTTTATTTTTCTTTTATTTACAACTGAAAACATCCCTTCCATAATCATTAAGTTCAAGGCTTCCTTCTTTAAACCATGTATTTCTTGTTTCTTTGGCTAGCTGCCAGATTAAAGAAGATTCTTATAATACTGGTTGCACTTTTACGACTGGCTTCAAGTCTGCCTATGTCCCTATATGTGAATTCTATCTCCTGCTCATTACTTCTTTCCTCCTGAGCCAGCGGAAGTACAGCAGAAAGGCCTCAACAAGTTCAAGTGCAACCGGATCACACGTGGAATATGCTAACCATCTAATCCCTCAGACTCATGTTCCTCATTAGGATGAGGAAAAGAGAACACTTTCAGTGTTACTGAGCTTTTATGAATCTATTAATTAATGCAGATAAGAATGTCAAGGCACAGGAAGGTCCTCAATGAATAGGACCTCCCCCTGCTTCACTATGCTTTTTTCCCCTTGGGTAGTTTAGTCATTGTGCCACCAATGACGAGCAGCACTTCAGGTACACCATCACTTCAGGATTTTCTCCAGCTCCTCTTAGGTGGCACTGTACCATGCATTTCTCCTCCCAGGGTAGCACGCTGTTATGGCTGAGATCTAAAAGGTCTCCCAAAAGCTTCACATCCTGAGGTGGGGCCTGCAGAAATGAAACCACCCATGGGCCAGACTAATGATGAGCCACAGCCAATGCATGGCCAGGAGGAGGAGTGGAGAAGGGGGCTCTGGGAAGGGCCTCTGTCTAGGACCTGGACACTCACCTCACCTCTAAACACTTCAGGCTAAGCCGTCTCCTTCTCCTTGGCTACCAGAGAGGAAGGCAATGTTTACACACACAAGTGAACATAGGCATTTGCATCCATTTACCAGTGAAATAAGTCAGATCTGCATGTGCAAACACAGTATTGTCTTACTAGTGTAAGAACCTGAAAGAGTAAATGCAATCTGAAAGGTATAATAGATACTGTGAAAGGGAAAGAAACTGTTCAATAGGAAGGAACAACTGGGATGAGGAAAAGGATAAAAGAAGGGAAAAAGATATATTTAAGTACTTATGCTAGATGGCTTAGAAAAATGTACTGATGATCTCTGCTGGTCTATTGAAAAGGGAAGTTAATGCTTAACTTTTTTTTTCCTTGTTTTTAATTTCTTATAACTTTTTTAAAAACCAATTTTGTATGTTTATATCTAGTAATTTAAACAACTAATTTGAAGATAGCATTATGTAATACGATTGTCAAATTCCTATTATTTTTTGTGAAATTCTGTAGTTTCTTTTTTTTTGACCATTTTGTATTCTCTTTAAAAATTTTTTAAAATATGCATTTGCAATGTGATTTAACTACATAGTATTTATTTATTTATCTATTTATTTATTTTTTGTGGAACCTGGGATTGAACTCAGGCCCTTGCACTTGCCAGGCAAGTGCTTATTTTACTGAGCTATTTCCCTGGCCCCGAACAATGTATTTTGAAAAATAGAATAATAAAATTGAGACAAAATCAACTTGGAAAATATATTCAAAATATGTTTTTAGGGAGATAGCTCAGCAGCATAAACACTCGCGTGGTAATCACAAGGTCCTGAGTTTGATTCCGATACCAAAATATAGTTTTAGAATAAGAAGCAGCACAGTGAGTGAGGTAACGACACACTGGGGAGTGCCAGCTGCATTAGGGAAGGGAGTCTCAGCAGCCTTCACACACGCTGACCTGTAGCATGCCCACATCCGGGCTTCGTTTCTTTGCTTTTAATTCTAGAGAGTCCCAATGCATCTTTTCCTTTTTTAGGATTTTTCTCGTTACCACTGACTTTGTTGAAGTTTAGTCTGTTTTTTTGTGAAAATTATTTTATTTATTTTTATTGGCTTGGAGCTGCTTAAGTCATAAGATTTATAGTTCTCATTTAGTTTGAAAACACTTTGGGCTATTATTTTCCCAAGTATTTTTTTCTTCCTCTTCTCTTTCCTCCTTCTCTCTGGGTTCATTTTAAGAATGTCAGATGACCCAGTACTGCCCCTCGTAGCACTGATGCTTTCTTCATTTGATTTCCAGGCTTCGTTCTCCTGCTTCATCTTAGGTGGAGGGACCTGCTACATTTTCAAGTTCAGTGGTATTCTGTAGTATCTCA